TAGGTCTCCTTTATACCGATCAGTAGTGGCCGGTGTTGGTTTAGTTGGAGATGAAGCTCACAGAGCTCGTTAAATGGGCTTTGGCTGTTGGTTTACATACAATCCTATGACCCGACTATCATGGTGTTGCTTATTGGGGCAGATTGTCTGTAGACAAGTCGGAAACGCTGCTCGCCGTTGCCGAAATTTGTGTTGACATGTTCGACTGTGCAGGGGTTCCCAACTGGGAGCTATTTGCTTAATGTGTACCAACTTTGTTTAGAATGCCATCTCTGTTCAAGCCGGCAAGATCGTGTTTTTAAACCGTGGTATTGGGAGAACTGTGGTCGACCGTGCTGTATGACACATTGGTCAGACAGAGAACTGGCTGTGCTTCCTTGAGTGCACTTCCACTTTTTAGCTCCTGACGGTCGCCCCTTGGTATATAACGATAAATATGCAAATCTGACGGGAAGTGGTTTCTCAGAGAATGTTGTTTCTTAAGGGCCTCTTGAACCATGGATTCGGTGAGGAGCGCCTCTCTAAGATTTCTAGACTGGGGTCTGTTCATCAAACGTTTTAGCTTAGGCAATCGGCCTAGGTCGATAAGCACCAGTCCCTCAATTTTAAGCTTAGAGCCCCCATAGTTCCATTGTAAGAGGTCATGTTGTGCGTCATCTCCTCCCCACGCTTCGCAGGCTCCGTGCAAAATGATGCTTCTTGCCTAGATTGGTGTTCTATCTGGGCCCTTGAGACGCGTTGGGACCTTTTGGATAGACCCAGGAAGGTCGGGTCTTATTTACACTTTAGAGGATGCACTTAAAGCCTGCGCCGATAAAGGAAGTCTACTCGTGTCATCCGCTGAGCCAAGAGACACCTTAAGAAACCTGGGGTGCTCTGCGCATGAGCAGTTCTGGCTCCTTGCTAGCCGCCTGGGGCTTGGTGGTTTTAGCTCAGGGATTGGCATGTTGACACAATTGATGGGAAACTGTACCATCCCGAATGTCCCGCTCGGCCAAAGATTATGGATTGGATTCCGGTAGGTCAATGACTATGACGGGTGCTAGGGACAGTCTGTATGAGCCTGGGTATGACAGTAACCCTGTGGTGCACGGTCTTCCACTCTGAAGGAGGTTGCACCGTTGCATTTTGCGTACGGTTTCGATGTACTGGCTTGATTTTAGCTTTTCTGGGTTTGACACTTGGGATGCTGATCAAACAATGGGATTTTATCCCCACTCTAGTGTCCGTCCATCTGCTGACTGTCTTCTTACCACCCCCTGACCATATCGATTTGAGTACTAACCTTAGTCAAATCTCTCTCCCTCTTGATCCCATTTATCGATAGTTCCGTCAGTAACTGCTTACAGGCCAAGTAGTACAACCGCAGAGAATCATGCTAGACTTTTAGCTTGTATTCTGTGCTTTCTGATTGACTGCAAAACTTGTGGTACCATAACTTGCACGAGTCACGCTGAATACTGTTGCGCACAGCAAGCTTGGAACACTTAGGGTTGCCGCATGGGGCTCTATTTGATGTGATGGTGTTCGGCACTTTGCTGAAC